GAGAGAGAGAGAGAGAGAGAGAGAGAGAGAGAGAGAGAGAGAGAGAGAGAGAGAGAGAGAGAGAGAGAGAGAGAGAGAGAGAGAGAGAGAGTTAGGCCGAGACCGCGCGAGAGGGCAGAAAAGACCGCGGAGGGGAGGGGAACAACCGGATCAACACACTCATACTCCTAAGCAGACGGTCCCCCAGTTCAGTTTCCCCATCCCCGCCCGGACGAGTACATACACACATACATGCATGCAATCAACAACCCTTGACAGGACATCTAATCATCCATGGACCTTCGACATTACTCATGCGCACAACCAGCTCCCATCACTCGGGGCTTCACACACACGACATGCATGGATAAAGCATCAATGAAGATAAAAGCGAGTCCTTGTACACAAAAAAATCAATTAACTGCTGCCCCCAGGCGCAGCCTTCAAAACTTCCCAAGACCACCGACCACCATAGCCACAAGGCCCTGCCGCGGCCGGCGTCCAATCCCCACCACTGCTCAGTCCTTCCGACTGCTCCGCCCCGAGACTACCGCGGGGCCCACCCCACGTCGTCACTCCACCCGTCCTTGGGCTCATCGAGCCTGTTCGGCGCCGCGGACTCTCGCACATAGCTCGCGCAGCATTGTAGCCGAGATAAAAAAGAGGGAGAGGAGAGGGTTGCACAAATTTATAGCGCGGGAGGCGCAGGATTTTTCCTCAAGGATACGGCAAGCCGCGCGGTACGGATCTGAGCTTATCACAAGTGGCCGACGCATTCATTCGGGAGTACGGCCATTTGCTGTGGTTCCCCACAAGGCAACGGTTGGAGGACGTGCAGAATGGCTTCGAGAGAAAAGGGTTCCCGGGTTGTGTAGGCACGATAGATTGCACGCATTTGTATGTTGAGAAGCCGAAAGGAGTGCGATCGGAGTGCTACTACCACCACACTGGGGGGTTCTCGGTTGTGGCGCAAGTCGTTTGCGATCACGAGTGTCAGATTTGCAGTGTTTATGTCGGTTGTCCGGGGTTTGTGCATGATTCGAGAGCTTTGCGCATGTCACCATTGTTCATAAATGCCACGGAGGGTAGAGGAGTATTGGCTGAGGGAGGTGCCGTGTTACACGACGGTAGACATGTTGGCCGTTATCTGCTGGGTGATCAAGGGTACCCTCTTCTTCCATGGCTCATGACTCCTTTTGGCCGTTTTGTTCGAACGTCGGCGGATCGAGCGTTCGATTTGAGCCATAGTGCAGCGAGGCCGTGCATTGAACGGACTTTCGGACGTCTGAAGGCGGTTCGGAGGAACTTCATCCGAAGACATATTTGCAACCTCAAGACAGTCTGCAAAGAATTCATGGCCATCTGCATTCTTCACAACCTGATGATCGAGCACAACGTGCAGATCGACCTGGCGCTGATAGAAGATAGCAGTGACAGCGATG